AAGAGATCGCTCTTTAAAGAGCCTTTGACTGAATGGGTCTTTGTGGAACCAAAAATGGTTCTTCTATGGCATCGCTGTGAAGAACCTTTTAAGCACCTTTATTTTTAAGAGTGTACACAAATGCTCCTCCTCCTAAACTGAACAACATCAGCCTGCAATTCACACACGAGTGAGCAATCACAGAAGAGACACGTGGATGGAGCAAACACAAACATTTAATGCCATTTGAGCCAAAAACCAGAGCAACTCACTGTGAAGCGTCTGTAACCACAGGAAGAGGGATGTCTTCGGCCGTGAAGTCCAGCTCATCCACCAGGCTGTTGTTGCGTGAGATATCAGGGCCGTCCAGTTTTTTCTTAACTGTAGAGAAAATTACAATACGTACAATTAAACCACGAACTCACATGACACAAAAAAATTCAAGCTAGAATGAAAATAAATACACAGACTTAAGTCAGAAAATGTATGCATTTTGGAGAAAACTCAAGAAAAGAGACTGAGAAAGCAGGAGAGCATTTGCAAAAGACGGATACCTGGAGAAGAAGGACAGCTGAGAGCGAAAGCCGACCACGAGCGCTGGCGGTCTGTTGACATGCAGACACAAAGAAAAAGCGCAAAAGATCATGCTACACGACAAAAAACAAGACAAGAAAGAGCAGCAGAGGCAGAACATGATCAATATGAAAGCTAAAATATCAAAAAAACACTGCAACATGAACAAAACCGTCTGAGGTGGCTTTATAATGTATAAAGTTGTGTAATTTCATTGATTTGGCATTCGTGTGACCTTTGACACTTAATTTAGGTCTATTTCTGTCGCTGATGGCCCTCAAAATGCCTCAAGACTCCAGTGACGCTGTCTTACAAGCAGCATTATTATAGTTAAATAAATTAACACCACAAAAATGTTTACCTTAAATAAAATACATTTATTTCTACTAGTTGCCAAAGCAACGTCTCATTTTCATGTAGTTTAACTTAAAGCTCTAAAATAACTCAAACTGAAATTAAAATAAATAAAAACTATATATACAGAAAAACAATAACTAATAAAAACAACAAAAAACGCACAACAAAGTTACTAAAACATTAACTAAAATTAAAATGAAAGCGGAAAAAAAATAAATAAAAAAACTATAAAAGCGTCTCAATCATACTAAAACAGCACCGCATACAAGATTCAATCCTCCATAAAATAATAATTAAAAAAAAAAAGTTTGCATAATTTTATTCGGAGGCCCAAACTGAGCAAAAATATGCAATTTTGTAGATATTTTGCAGATGTTATTTATATGGCCAAGAAGTAAAAAGATGATATTCTGAACATTTGTAATTAAAGGCCATTCACTTGCTAAAAACATCTAACTAACATAAAAACTATCAATCAGACGACAGAAGCCATGTAATAGATTGTGTGTAACAAAGTTACGCTGATCATTTAGAAATCGAACTTGTTTCATTTTCTTTTTAATCTATTCATTTTTAATATAATGTTTTAATGGAAATGACTTGCTGTGGAAATGACACACTTTGTTACATTTAAGCAAATTTCTGCCTTTGAACGTTCACACTTTGCTCAAATAAATGCATTTTTTGCCTTTATGTAGCAAGCGACATGATGCCACAATAACACAACACGCACTTGCAAAAAAGCAGAAGCAGCAGCAAGCAGAAAAAAACCACAGCGGCACGGAGAGAAAGCTCTCACCTGATGATCGGAAAAGTTTTGTGATGCCTGTGTGAAGGGAAAAACATGTAACATTTGATCTACCGTTTCACAATTCAGTCAATTCCCAACGGACAAGTTTCACTCGGAAATACGCCACATTATGGGTTGCCACTTTCTTTTTCCTAAAACGTGGTTGCTGGCACGCTTATGACAAAAACAGACTTTTGCTCAAATATCTTACAGACTATGTAACCGACTCTAGGCTTTGATAAGCCAAACCGCTGAGTGTGTTTTTATCTTTCCGTTTTCCCCGAGTTCAAAGGCCTGCGATTTCATTCTCTTTCCCCTCTTCAGTCGTAATGAAGCTTCAGAAGAGGCTTCTCTGCTGGGGACCGTCTGCGTTAATGTGTTTGCTTTTATGATGAAGCCATTCGGCAGGAAAACCCATAAAAACAAACTTATTAACAGACGGGTTTAAGCAGGGGACCGGATGCGTTCCACTCGCATGTGGAAAATGACATCTATTCAATATGGAAAAATGGGTCAGGTCAAAACGGCGGCTTTTCATCTTTCCGTCCTCTTTATCGCTCAGTGTAACGCCTCCGCTCAATTTATGGGGTACAAGAATGGAGTAACTAAACGACAAGAGCCTCTTTTGTGTCTTGTTTTCTGGTTGATGAATTGGAACTTTGCTCCAGCACTGAAACCATATTTTTGTACTATACTACAAAATTTCCAAATTTTTTTGGTAGCCAGATTAGATGTATCTGTTGAATTTGGCTGATATCATATGCTAGTCTTTAATAAAATCAAGCTCAGATTTGCAGCTGTCTAAATCGTTTAACGGATACACTTTTCATGTGACACGGTTAAAAAGAAACATCAGGAACAAGCTTCTCTTCTTAACAGCGTGTCAACACTGGCTATATTTACATGCAAACGAATAATATTTTAATCGCATTGATGACTCAATCAGACTGAAAAGCCTTCATATAAACACCTCAATCGACCCGATTAGCAACATAAACCTATGAATCCAAACACTTTATCAATCAGATTAATAAATAAAAAGAAATTAATAAAAAAAAGCTAAATGAAAATATATAGAAAAACAAAAACTACTAAAAATGTCAAAAATGCAATTTTGTCAATTTTATTTTACAATTAAAATAAAAACTATTCCAATTTATTACAATTATTATGTATACTCAATCGGACTGAAAAGCCTTCACGTAAATGCCTCAATAAATAAAAATAAAAAATAAAAAAACTTCCTCAATCAGATACAATAAAAATAAAATAAAATAAAATGCAGCCAAATGGAAATATAAAAATAAAAAAATAAAAAAATAAAAAAATTATTAAACCTAAACTAAAATTCAAATAAAACCTGAAAATAATAAAAAATATTGTGAGGGCTCAATCGGACTGAAGAGCTGTCATGTAAACACCTCAATCGATTCGATTAGAATCTGAATACTTTCTCAAATGTTGTGATTCGTGTTGTTATCGTTAACTAAAACCATTCAAAATCATTTTCAGTCATTTAAAATAAAGCTAAATAACTATGAATAAAGTAAATATCAAAATAAAAACTAAATAAAATATAAATATTAGATGGAAAAAACAACTTAAAAATGAAGCAAAAATAAAATGATGCCTTGGCAAGTAACTGATATAAATAAGCTGAAGATGAAGTAACAATAACATGAAGTGACAAAGTAACTAACATTTCTAAAACTAAAACTGAATAAAATAAATTCAAATAAATACAAATAAAATAAATGACAAAAGCACATGAAAATTACGAAAACTTAAATTAAAATGTGAAAATATAAAACTAAAACCTAATTCAAAATATTAAAGGGGTCATATGATGAGATTTCAATTTTTCCTTTCTCTGTGGAGTGTTGGTGTGCTTTTTCTTCTGCTCACCAAGCCTGCATTTATTTGATCAAAGATACAGTAAAAAATGAAAAAATTTGAAATATTATTACAATTCAAATAACTGTTTTCTATTTGAATATAGTTTAAAATGCAATTATTCCTGTGAATTAAAGCTGAATTTTCAGCAT